TAATAGCGATGGCCTCCAACCTACTTGCGATGGCCTCCAACCTACTAGCGATGAGATAGACAAGCATCCGTACCAAGATTGTTTTGATCTTGTACAAAAGGCCTTCTGCCTCTGGCTTCTATTAAAACTTGCAGTATGCGTTTGATCTGATTTCTGAGCAACCTGATAGTACTTAAATCAAAATAACCTGTGTGCATGTGCTTGGATTGCAAGGAAGCATCAGGTTTGAGTCGGGCGCGCCAGCCATAGATACAAGGAGCCAAAAAAATTGTATAAATAAAAAATAAAGCCAAAAATAAGCAAAAGGTAAAGCAAACAAAAAAGCAAAAAAAATGTAGCTTTCCGTGTTTGTCACCTTTGTTTCACGTGTTTTTTTGCTTTATGTTCACATGTTGTTCGCTCATTTTCGCATTCTTTGTGCATATGTTTCGCTTTTTTTTCGCTTTTGTCCTAGGAGCGTACAGCAAATATTGCTGACGGATAAAAGTTCTCATAAGTGCAGAAGTGGTACCAGTAAAAAAGCAAACAAACAAAACAAGTGCAACAACAAAGCAAATTGCGCTGCTTTTGCGTGTTCATTTACTTTTGTTTTGCTTTTTGTTCGCTTTTTTTCACCCCCAAAAAAATAATGGTTGGTCGTGTATGGCTGCCATTGCCCAACATAACATCAGGTCATTGTACAACATTGACGTCAAATTGCACGGCCAATGCAAAACAGATTGGTTCCACGCATCCGAGCACATTGATTTGCTCTCTTTCCTTCACATCTCTTCGTACTAAGGCCTGCATGGCAACATGCTTGACCTATTGCCCTATTGCTCAATCGAATCTGAAGCAAATCAATTGCGCCAGGCCTTCCGTCCAGTCCCTTCAGTGAGCAAATTGGTCGCATATGTCTTCCAGGCCTCGTGCGCTATCCATTATGAGTCTCAATGAACCAAAGGAAGCGATGGCACCTGATCTCCGGAAAAGGTGGGGCCAATGATCCTTGGTTCCCGATTCCAATGCTGTAGATATTTTCAACTTATTTCACGAGTTTGTTCAGCAAATGCGTTCAACTACCTCGGCCTAGCAGCAGAGATCCTGATGAACGTGCCAACTCGAAAAGCTGTACTAGGTTCACTCCGGTGAAGTCAATGTCGCTATCCTAGGTTGGAGGCCATCGCTCATAGGATGGAGGACATCGCTCTTAGGTTGGAGGCCATTGCTAGTAGGTTGGAGGCCATCGCTCTTAGGTTGGCGGCCATTGTTTCTGGGTTGGAGGCCATGGCTCTCAGGAGAAATTAAGGACTGAAGGAGTGGATGGCTGCGTGAAGTCGAGAGCCATCCAATGGCTCTTTTGCATGCAACAACTACTCTTGGACTGAGCGCCAAACCAAAGCCCACACAAACTCGTACTTCTGAGGCCTCAACAACGTGGTGAAGAAGTTGTTTGGTGAAGAAGTTGTTTGAATCCCGAACTTGCCCACACAGTCTCAGGCAACGAGTTTGCAGCGAAGTAGCCACTCCTCTCGGTATGCTTCCTGTAGGAACTTGAACTTGTAGCCTTCCAGTGGAATCGTACCCGTAAACAGGACAATGTAACCAACTAGTTAAGAACAAACAGCTGACGATCAAGCACTCTTCATCCACCAAGTCGCCAGGCTTCCGCATGCTGGACCTCATGCCGAAGAAGAAACCGCATGTGGAAGCTTCACCTCCCCAAAGGGATTGAAAATAAAGCAACAAAGGAAGGGCAACTTTATTAAGGCCCCCAAAAGGCCCCTTTTAAGCGGGGCCTTCACAAAGTGGCCCCTTCCTATTTTCCCTCTCTGCAAAATCGAATCTCGGACTCAATGCTTGCTGAGGCCTAAGGCTCCTGCGTCACCTCGTTCAAATACCATGCTTTGTTCCAATCGTCTGAGCTCCCTTCGTAATGCCTTGGAACGCACCCAAAACCATCACATCTACATCTATATGGAAACCCAACTCCGAATGCAGATCTTTGTGGATGTTCAATAGCATGTTCACAAACGCAAACTGATATTGGTTCTAGGGATCATCCCCGTCTCAATCAACTTCCACGATACGCAAGCATCACATCGCAGCATTGACGTGCGCCCATTCTCCGTGCATACCTCACAAAATAGAAAATATGTGCCTCAAACGTTCCGCCAATTCACCGACAGCCAAGCTGCGCCACATTTCGTACAACGTTCTCCTCACAGGCAAGTCTGATGAAACAAAGGCTGTATTCTTGGCGGTTGGGTTTACGGTGCGATCTTGCATGCGTCCTGTGTCCGATTGGCACTGTCCACTGCCCAAAATAGCCTCAAGAATTGCTGGATGGAAGAGAGATTGTCAAAGAGATGCTCCATGAAATGGCGGAGAATCCACAAAAGGTGCAGCTTAGTTGCAACACTTTCAATGAATTCTCGTTTGATTCAAAGGCTGCCCTGTCATGGGCCACTAACGAAATGCAGGTGCTGCTCTAAACCACAATGCCAAACCTTGCAACAAAGCCTGCTGGATGAGTTGAACGATAATTCAGGGAAATGTGACTTGCCCGTTGCTTCCCCCATCCTTGCGACATGATGTCCAAGTATTGTCAGCAGCAGCCAGTGCATCTGATGGAGTCTGGCCTGCACTGAGATTGAAGGGCTTGGAAAAGGCTACAAGTGATGAATGCAAACTAAGCTCAATGCAAAACAAATATCAACACTTTGGGCATCAGTGCCTCATCAAACAATCGTGGAACTCATGGATTTCCCCATCGGCAGCTGCCTTTTACAGCAGCTTGAGCCAGCATTCATGGGTCAAGGGTTATGGCCCTTCTGCTCTGCAAGGGCAGGAAACTGCCAAAGCCCTCCAAAAGAATCATGCTATCGGGCAGAAGTGCAAATACTCCGTCTTGGAAAGGTTCTTTAGTTTAGATCGACTTGGATTAACTACAGTCCTCTCAATGCATTTCAGTCCTCTCAGACAGAAAGCTGTGGTCGCTGACTGAACACCGCCTTGGGGCGAGATTTGGCAACTGCTGAGGCATTCATTCCTTCATCATTCTAGATTCTATCTAAATCGAAGCATCGGTTTTGTCTATCCAGCCTTTCGATTGACAACACCGCGTGTAGTAAGAATTGCATCGCCAGCATCCTCCTCCACAGGTATTGGTCTTGCTGAATATGTTCTACAGAAAGCAACCATCGTCAGCTGTTGCATCACAGGCTGAAAACAGTTGAAAGCACCTTCCACACCATCTTAATCTGTCTTCGACGATTTGGGAAATCTTTCTTTCCAAGGGACAAAAGGGTCTTCTTTCCGGTGGCGGTTTTGGTCTTTGTCGCCTGTCCAGTCTTTTCCATCAGTACCTGGCGCCCGGATGCGCCCAGACATCCAAACAAGATTCAAAGGAGTATATAGCCGTTGTGTGTGTGTGTGTCCACACCTGTTCCTAAGGAGTTTGCACAGAACAATTCACTTTCGGTGGAGTTTACGAGGTTTGCAGGGGGGCCGGAGCCAGGTGGGTGCAAACGCACCTGCGTTTGTCCTATTTAGTTTTTAATCAAGCTCTAACGTGTTAGTGCAAGTCAAGGTCCAACTGCGTGTAAAGGTCTACCTGCAGTAAAGTGGAACTTCACCAACTGATTCAGCTCCTGTAAAGTGCTAATGCAAGTCAAGGTCTAATTGCGTGTAAAGTGGAACTTCACCAACTGATTCAGCTCTTGTAAAGTGCTAATGCAAGTCAAAGTCTAACTGCGTCTAAAGGTCTAATTGCGTGTAAAGTGGAACTTCACAACTGATTCTTGCGAGCATCAAACTAAGTGGGTGTCGCCACAGAGTTGCACTGAGCGCTGTGGTGTGATCCCCACCGAGGGGCGCAGCATGTGCACAAACCCACTTCTGGGGGACTCCCACTGATTTCCATCTCCCTCTCTCTTGTGACCTTCTTTCAGAATACCACGGGCTCGTTTCGTTTTGCTTGAGATTGCTGATCGAATGCCGCAGGGCTCACTGAATATCTTTACATGCACGCGTGCGACACATTAGACGAAACAGACTCAGACGAGTCTAACGACTTCCAAAGATTTTGCTTGAGGCTTTTAGGTTTCAGGTGAAGCTTTAGTCAAGAGAGCACCGTTTACGGCCGAGCATGAGGAGAGTGAGAAGCGTGAGCAGAGGACCATTAGGCAAGCAACTAAGTAATCTCTTTTGGTTCTTTTGGTTCTTCTCTCCTGCTGTTGCTTTCCGTTTTCTTGAAGCCTTTCTTTAGGTTTTAGGTGCCTTTTAGTCAAGGGAGCGCCGGTTACGGCAGTGCCTTAGGGCCACACCCCCCCCTCTTTGCACGAGAATTCACACTTCTTATCCCACCCTCTAATTAGGGTAACAGGAACGGGCGGTCTAAGACTAAAGTCCCGCTGGCTAACTATTGCACCTAATTCATTCGGCTAAGTAGTCAGTAACTAGAAGGCTTCATAACACTAGGGCCTCGTAACTACTCCTATCTTTCTCTCTTGCCCTCTTCGCTTGCTCTCTCTCTGTATGTTCCTTTCCTTTCTTTCTAAGGCTTGTTAGGTGGCTAGTAAATCTTTTGAGCGCCGATGCCGATATCGGCATTCTGTGTGTGTCCACACCTGTTCCTAAGCAGCTTGCACAGAAGAATTCACTTTCGGTGGAGTTTACGAGGTTTGCAGGGGGGGCCGGAGCCAGGTGGGGGGTCTCCGGCCAATGAAGACACCCCCCCACGTGGGTGCAAACTTACCTGCGTTTTTCCAATTTATTTTTTTAATCAAGCTCTAACGTGTTAGTGCAAGTCAAGGTCCAACTGCGTGTAAAGGTCTACCTGCAGTAAAGTGCAACTTCACAACTGATTCAGCTCTTGCGAGCATCAATCTAAGTGTGGACAAAAACGGAGGGCGCACCAATGGGCTCTTGAGCTCTTGCATTTTGCCGTGCAGGCATCGAGGTCCATTGGTCAAAGTGACATCGCCTGGCAAGAAATAGAACTGTTTGGCCGTCATTGCCAGGATAAGTTAAGCTTTTCTGTTCCACATACTGTGATGGCTCTCCTGCGCAAAATGTCCAACTAAACTCCAGGAAAAGAATCGCTTCCGGACAAGAAACAATTGGGAGCGTGGACGTGGACCTGTTTGATTCCGCGAGGGTTCAAGGAAGCCCTTGTTGACTGTCTGCGTTTGCCTTGCATGCATTCCCCTGGTTCCCCCCCTTCAAAATGTGTCAATCAACATGCTCAATGGGTGCAGATGGGACCATCTTTGATGTCCAAAATGCCAAGATCTTGTCCTGCTACTTTTGATCCGTCCTGCAAGACTGAAGGCAGGCAAAGGCCAATGAAAGCAGTGAGGAAGTGTGAGACAGGCTAGCTGCTAGCTCTCAATCAATGGCTCTGAGTCTAGCAAAGTCAATTAGGATTCTTTGCGGGCAAAAATGCTGGGAAAGGAACACGTTGCCCAACAATCTTGAGTGTCCAGCCGCTGACTGTTGGTGTGCTACAGTCCTCCATCTGCACAGTGCTTTGCAGCTCAATGAGGATCAGTTCATCTGGTTTGCCCTCGCAGCTGTGAAAACTGCACTCAACCCAGTTGACAATCTGCACAGTCCGACTGTCTTGAAAAATGGACAAAAATGCCCCAATCAAATCAGTGCCCCTGCTGGTTGATTCGCACAAATGCGCAGATATCCACCACGGTCGAATTGATTCACAGGTGGCATGTGAAAACACCTCCAGACTGTGGGACATTGTGGGTTCTCCTTCAGTTGTGCAGCTGATCAATAAGTGTGCCTTCAGCTTCCGACCACTGCCAATTAAGCAATCCCGTGGTGCGGTATAGGCTAAGACTTATTCTCTTCAAATATGATGTTGCTTACTTGTGCTCGGATCAACGCTCTCTATTGCCAGGGAGCGTCACACCGCCCCTGGCTCTTTTCCCAGGATAAGTTTGTCCAATCTCACAAGAAGCCCACTTGTCCAATCTTCATATTTGTGGATGCTCGAACTTGCCAGAGTTCACTTGGCTCGATTCGCAGTCGAAAGAAATTTTCCAGTAAACACATTAAAATGCAGGGTGAAGAAAGGCAAGCAAAAAGCCGGAGCTTGGAGAGCCTTGCGTCCGTGAGCCCGTTCGTTTGAAGAGATTCCAGCTAGAATTAATATGAGTCTCACAATTAGTTGTTAGGGTCGGATTAGCCATTAGACCTCCCAACAGGCCCCTTCAGCAAATGATACGGCAAGCATGGAGCATATTAGTGACACTAGCTTGATTGTCCATCAAACATTTATATAGATCCGCGATACAGGCCGACATGTCTGCACAAAAGCCGTGCCCCGAAGCTTCCAGATGTTTCAAGAAATCCAGATGGCCTCACATCGCAACACTGCCGCTCTTGCCATGGCTCTCAAAACCCAAGTGTGCTGCAAATACTACATGCAAGTTGTATCGGTTCTTGTGAATAGAAAACGACAGTTCCGGCCTTCGTGTGCTGTGCGCTGTGAAGATCCATTGTCCATTGTGATGTGTGTCAGATCTTTCGACTTTTAGACTTCCAACGAAAGAGCTTCCAACCTCTTTTCGAGCCAAAGAGCTGTCTTCAGTCGCTCGTAGATCTCAGAATGGAAATCCATCTCAGTCGATCTAGCGCTTCACCATCCTCCCGGTCGGCCCTTGGAGGGGGACTCAAACTTCAATTACGTGGAGCTGGATCTCCCTCCACTGAAAATGCACAGCATCAAAGCTCCACTTTTTGAAAACTCGTATCGTGCAAGTTCACTACTGCCCAGTACCTGCTCTGATACAAAGCTATTCTATGCATCGAAGTATGCAAGTGCCGTATCTGCCTCTATTTGTCATTGCTATTGGGTTGGAGGTCATCACCTTTTGATGTTCAGAGCGGGCAGAGCAGGCAGAGCAGCCGTGAATTCTGTCAGGATCAGAGCCGCACACCTTGGAGAGATGCCATTGTTCGCCATCCATGTCTCGCAGAAAGTAGTGCAACCCAAAGCGATTCTGGACTCTGAACTTTGAGGGTTGCCACCGTTGACAAAGACCAATCTTAAAGGTCGTGGGACGAACCAAGGCCAGCTGTCACTGGGCAGTCGGGCGTTCGAGGCGGTCAAGCCTTTTCTTCAAGTCTTGCAACTCTGCATCCTGCTCCAAGACCTTCTGCTTATACTCGTCATGCTCCTGAACCAGCCAAATGTTAAAAAATGGCTGTGCCCTGCATGGCATGTGTGTAAGAGGTGCTGTTTCTTTCTTTCCCTAAAGACTTCATCCGCTTCATCCGTGGCCTTTTGGAGGTTCTGGAAGGCGAGGGTGAGCACCGCGATCAGGTCCTTTCATGTGTACAGCGGCCAGAGGGAAGAGTTCTCAAAGTCAAAGTACAAGAAAGGACAAGATATAAAAGAAATGTAAAGAAGATGTTGTTCTTTCAGAAATGAAGTACAAGTGCTCCTGACTGGCGATGGCTTTCGTATCTCCGGCGACGGTGCGCACCTCAGCAAGCCACATCGGGTGATGGAGCCACATTCTGTTCGGCGGAACGGTGATCAGGAGCAGGCCAGATTCGGGAAGACCGTTTCCAGCTCTTGCGCAATGAAGCCAAACTTCAAGTACCTTGTAGAGACCCGTTATCACTTGCAACCGAATTTTGCTGATATGAGGTAAGTGGTCTACTTCATGAGAAAACGGAAAGTGCTGAGAGTCTGGATTCGGCCCGCTTTCGAGGGGCACTTGGCTTCTGCACCCCGCTTCAACTGGAAGGAAACAGGTCGCAGTTCACCTGGGCTTGAGGCAAGCAGCTGTGGCTGCGACATTCTTATGCCCTAAGCAGAATCAACTTGGTCTCTGCTCAACGGATCTTGTCCATGTAAATAAGGACATGATTGTTGAGCGTTTTATGCCGCTTGCACATTGATAGCCCAAATAATGAAACTTAGCTACCTCAAAATAGTTTGGACCTGCATGCTGTAGCAATCTGTAGCTGCAGTGATTGGCAAACTCAATATGCATGAGGGGGTTCTAAGATAGGCCGCGGACGTAAGAGCCACTTCACCTGCTCCCCTTCGCTAGGCCTTGACAAAATGTGCCAAGGCTCCCATATCACCCACACAATCTTTAACAAAATCTCCAACTGAAGGATGGAGGCCATGGCTAGTAGGTTGGAGGCCAAAGGTGCTTGGGTTCAGGATGGAGGTTCAACCAGAAAGCCCTCCATGGCACCTTCATGCCACTTGAATGTGGCAAATTGGCCTGTTGAATTGCATTTGTCAAGTGAGCTTTTCGGCTTTGACCTCACCCAGCACCCGCCCCCCTGAGCCGGTCACTTTGGTCCAGGTGTCGCCATGCCATCCCAACCTCAATGCTTTCTCTAGCAGCAAAGCCTTCTCTCCATTGGCAAGGTCTATTCAAGTCTAAGATCCAAACGATCTTTTGCCCGATTGGCAATAGTTTCATACAAAGGCTGGATGTTGCGCTTGAGGCGTCTGTCCTTGTCGAAGCTGCTCGATTGGATCTATTGACCATGTGTCCAGGAATAACCCCTCGAATATCCTCCACTCACATGTGCAAATACAACCAATGCGATTCAGGCATGGAAATTATGTTTTATTTGGTGGCAAGTACACACAGTACCCTATCTTCCAGGCTGCACTGGGCGCCCAGCAGAGGTTGTTATACTGGCCTCTGAAGACCAAGCACCTGTCGGAGCGAGATAGAACCAAAACAAGAACAGCTGTAGACTTGCCATTGTGATACCCGTGACATGGATAAATTCAAGGCAAGCCCTCTAGGGCCCACACCATGCAAGGTTCCTCCGCTAGCTGTAAGAGTAATGCCTCTGTATGCATTTGCATACAGCTCCATCTGGGTCCTTGGCCAAACTGAGGAACGGGTCAAGAGTTCCTGTTCTGCATGTTGCGACCATTGTTGCTGTTCTGTACTTAAACATATATACAGTATGCGCGGTATCCGAACAACCTCTAAAAAGGTGTCCGAATGGCACCCTTCGTTTCTTCAGTACTCCCTTGTGGCTTTGAAGAGTTCCATCTTTGTCGCCATCTTTGTCGCCAGCTTTGTCGCCAGCGTGTGCTTTTGCGCCGACAAACCTCTGTGCTTCTCGGTTGCCCAAATGATGCAGATATTTTCGACATATAGTGCCATGTTGGCCCTTAGGCCCCGTGGAGGCCATCACTATTAGGTTGGAGGCCGTCGCTATTGGGTTGGAGACACACAGTGCTGTGTTGGCCCTTCCCTAGATCACAGCATCTCCTGTGGTTCTTCTTCTTCTTCTTCTTCTTATTCTTCTTCTTGTTCTTCTTCTTATTGTTATTCTTCTTCTTCTTCTTCTTCTTCTTCTTCTTCTTTCATGGCTTCTCACTCACTGGTGCAAAAAAGATATTGAATGTGCGGCAAAAGCCCATGTCGGCCCAAAAACTAGAGGACATGTCCACATGTCCATTGTGTGCATAACCAACAAAGCCGGTGGTCCACAGCAAAGCAGCGTGCATGCTAATGCTCGTGCACACCAGCATGTGTTAAGTGCTGAATTCGGTTGAGATGCAATCAAAGAAGCCAACGGACATTCTGCTTTCGTCTTGCGCAAAAGAAATGTTGATCTCACAAACGTAAGATACGTGTCGAAGATACGTGTCCTGCTAATGACGCGCAAGATGCGTGACCCAAGATGAGGGCCATTGTGGTTGAACAAGAACAAGACTCATGGCTCAGTGCAGCATTGGCTCGAGGAGATTGTCACATACGTCTTGTCCGAGCCATCCGAGATGAGGGCCGTCCTGCAACGCGAGAGCTGTGAAAACAAGTTTGTTCCTAAATTCTGTAGGCAAGCCCAAGACTCAACTTTAAAAAACTAGGCCTGAATCATTCGTTAGAGGCCAACAACAAGCAAAGAAGTCAAGGCCCTGCAAGTCAAAGAAAAGAATCCGGCAGATGGTCCTCAATGTTCCGGCAGATAATGTGCTTCCAGTGTTGACGAAGTCAGGAACCAAAGGGAAAGATTCAAAGCGAACGCTAGACATGGCTGACAATCTGGAACCCAGTCGATAGCTGCTGCGCATGGATAAGGAGCTGTCTAAGGCTGTGCAGTCGGACAAAGACAGTGACAAGGTCATACAAACGACGCCAAACACTGAGAAGGCAAATCCGACGCAGCCAATAGATCGCATTAGCAAAGACAGGCCAAGGCGGAAAGAATCCAGAACTGACAGGAGAAGCTCTAAACATGCCTTGCCAAAAACAAAAGAACCGAATTCTGCTTGTGCGAATGATTGAGTCAAAGGAAAAAATCCTGTGTGAGCACAGTCCAGGACTGAAAGAGGCAAACTAGATCGTGTAAGTCCAAAGGTCAGCATCACAAAGCCCATGCACACAAAGCCTCTGAGGGATGCGGCTGACCCTACGCGGCAAATATCGGAGATAAACACCACAGAGCCTGTTCAAACGAAGCTTTGGGCGAACAGTGACAAACTCATTGATGTGGAATCCAGGGCAAATGCTACAGAGTCGGATCAAGACAAGCCAACGACTGGCAACACAAATCCACACCGTGCCGAGGATCTCGCAGATGGTGGAAGATCTGTGCTCGCGCAGTCATACACCAGCAAAAAGAATCCATAGCGACTGATACCCCAAACGAAAAAGACTGGTCCCACCTTGGCGGACGTTTGCATCAAGAAAGTAAATCCCAAATGAAGAAAGTCAAGAACCAGCGACAATGGTGCCAAGCAGCCAACTCCGACAGCCAACGGCACCAAGCCCATGTGCGAAAAGCTATGCACCAACAGTGGAGAATCTGCGAGTCCAAAGTCAAAGGCTGATGATTGAAACCCGAACCATGCCAGTCCAAACATAAAGGACGAAAACCCAAGGCAGCCAAAGCTGTGCGGAGGCGTACTCGATTCCACTTGAGTACAATCCAAGACTGGCAGCAATGGATCGAAACTGGCCATGCCAAAGGGAAACGGTCTGGAGCCTAAACTGCTAAAGGAACGAACAGGAAGCAAAAAGCCAGCCATGGCAGCATCAAAGGTTGACAACTGCATCATCAGCCACACCTCTCCAAAGGTCAAAAGAAGTGGGCCTAATCTTGAGGACGTCCTCATTGGCAACGGCAAGCCCATGTGCAGAAAGTCCGACGCAAGCAGCAACAAATCAAGTCGCCCTACTCCGAATGAAGGAGACACCAGGCCTGCTTGTCCAAAGCTTTGCACGAACAGCAAAAAGCCAATACCGACACAATCTAGCACCAGTGAAAAAGATCCCATGCACCCTACGCCAAAGAGCAAAAAATGCAAAGCCAGGGCATGCCAAGCTGTGTAACAGTGACAAGGAGTCAGTTGCGGTGCAGTCAAGAGCAAGGAGTGAGAGCCCAGAACAGCCAAAGCCAAATACCAGCATCAAAAGCCCCGAGCGAG